TGTTTAAAGCGTGCCTTAAGGCAAGCAATCAAAGTCAGGGGAAGCCTGCAGCCACCAGTTTGCGTTGTGGACAGGGCCTTAGTTCCTTGTACTGAGGAACGCAGATATGCAAATGATACATCGATGGCGCATTTCAGAATCATAAATTTTTTTAAAGATTATACTGTTTACATAATTTTCAATTAATAATAAAAAATTCTGCACTCGCTATTTTTGCCATTTACAGTAGTTTTCCACTTTAACGAACATTCGATTAAATAGAAACCACATATAACGAACAAGACAATTTTTCACATTGAGATAATACAGAGTTTAACTATCAAAGTACAAAATGCATATAATATTTAAATGCCACTTTCGTAAACAAAAATGTTTTGCATTCTTTGCTCATATAAGAATCATTACCTCGTTTTTGCTCAAAGTGAATTTTTATCATTTTCATAATATTTTTTTATGTGGCCATATCTCGTCCGCCGTACAGAATATTGTTTTAGTATTGGAAGCAAAGTTGTTGGTAATGAATATTCATATGAAAAAATGCAAAACAAACTTACCGAAAAAAATTATCTTCTGCCTTAAAAATACAAAAAGGTACCAATTTTTTGCCATTTTTTTCTATTTTTATACATCTATAATTGGCGCTTTGTAACCGCACCTCCTCCAGTTTGTGGTTTTGCGTCTTGATGCCGTTCCAACAAATGGAGGGAGCTACAACTTATACTAAGCCAGATCCGAGAGGCTGATGGTTTTTTGTGAGGAGCTTAAATACAAGTCAGAAATACACTCGGAGGAGTTGACATTTCCTGCCGAGGGGCAACCGCAATAGAAAATTTAGTTTAATTTCTTTATTTAATTTAGTTTTCTATAACTTTTTTGGATGTTGGTCGCACGGGGATTTGAACCCGAGCCTTCCGAGTGGCACGCAATGCTAACCACTCGGCTACCGCGGCGGACATTTACCTATATAGCTATATTTATGATAGCTTCATTCTTCGCAAAAGTGGTTCATCATTATAATCATCAGCAGCAACATTAGGAACATCATCTGAATCAAGTCAGTAAAAACATTTATTGGCTTATCTTCGTTCATGTCTTTTTAACTACAATGGAAAGTGTCTTATCATTTCGGAAAAACTAAACAACGTAAAATCTCATACAAAATTCCGAGTCTCAAAGTTCTACTAATCTACCATTTATTTATCTACCATTTTATTCGTAAATGAACTTATAATTTCCGACTTCTTTAACTGTCAAAACATGGAACGATGGAAGGAAGAGGATGTTTAGTAAAAGGGCAAGATGTTGGCAATTTATTGAGTGGAGCTTGTCTGTAAGCGATGCGGAACGGTAATCTTATAAGGGGGATGGGAAATTTAAGCATGCAATCCTGCAATACTTTACTGTCCACTTGAGAATTGCTCTTATGATTATAAGCATGTATTCGTAGGTAAAGGGTTTTCCATTCCCCTGCGTGTTAGGGACTCAAGATTTTACTCGTTATAAGGCATGCCTGCCGTAAGAGCCGACTAAAATCCAATAATTTCAGACATTATTAGACAAGTAAACAATACGCCAATAATAAAAATGGAACGATATACACCACAACCCATTGAAATGTTAAAAATTCACTATAAAAATGGTGAACACCTGGCAGAGGCCGTTCGTAAAACTAAATCATTTTCCATTCGTCGTAAAACACCTTGTCGGACGTGTCGAGACAAATTAGTGATGTGAAGAATAAAACACACGACGCTCAAGAATAACTGAGAATATTGCTGCTGTAGCCCAATGTGATTAAGAACACTCAGGTTTTTCCATTAATCGTCCTTCTTCGGAATTGGGTACTCCACAAACGTCATTAGATTTAAAGTTGCAAAAAAATTTAAGTTTAAATTATATTTTTATCCAACTTTTTTATTTCAAATAGAAGATAATTTAATACTTTTGGACAAACATTCGTATTGCTATAAGCGATGGCGCAGCGGTAGCTGAGAAGTTAGCATTGCGTACTGCCAGTCGGAAGGCTCGGGCTCAAATCTCCGTGCGATCAACATCCTAAAGTTATAGAAAATTAATTAAAAAAAAATAAGTTAAATTTTCTAATTGCGTACCCTCCTCGGCAGGGAATATCTACCCCTCCGAGTGTATTTCGGACATGAAATTAAAGGCTCCTCATAAAATATTCATCAGCCGTTCAGAGGCGGCTTAGTATTAACTGTAGGCCCCTTCATTTGTTGGAAAAACATCAAGACGCAAAACTACAAATTGGAGGATTTAAGAAAAAAACTAGCAAATTTTGTACCCTCTAAAGCAGATTACTGTCTTAATGAAATGCTTTGCTACCGGATCATGATATCTCTTGCAGAGGTGACCGCGAAATCGAAATCTTGTGATTTAACACCTTGCGACTTATCCTTTGGGGCTAATGTCTACGCCATAAGGTCAAGATCTCAAAGATGGAATTCGTGAAGCTATTGTGGGCATACAGCAGACACTTTACCATTTGGTGATGGTGAAATTTGATAAAAATTACATGACGCTGTCATTTGGATGATATTGTTTTTCATTGTTAATGGCATATCCCTTTATAATGAAATTAACATCCAATCAGTTGTCTGTCATTTGTCATTTTTCTTTGAAAATCAAAATAACACCTCTTAATAACACCACGTAATTCACTGTCCACTTGAGAATTGGTCTTCTGCTTATCAGCATACATATGTAAAACATACATACACAGGAAGCATTAAGCTAATGTCAAAAAGTATGCTGGTGGTGCTAAGTATATAGTGCTCGCTTAACGGTAATAAAAAAAAACATAATATTAGAGCAACTAATTATAAATCGTGTAAGTAGTGTCAATGCCAATGAAAAAGAATTGCAATCGTGAAAACAAAATAATTTGTTACCATTTACTACATAGTGATTTAATGCCGCACATATTTTCCAACCTAGCCAAATTTATAAACAGGTATTTTTATAACTGTGCAAATGTGTATATTTCATTACTAATAATGTATTTTTCATTTTCTTTTTTTTTGTATTTTACATGATTTTTACGTAATTCAAATATGTTTGTATACTATTTACTCGATATATTATATTTCTCTTCAATCTAACATAGCAGTTTAAAAAGCAATATCAATCAAAAACTCTGCCATTTATGAACTGTGAGCCATGTTTATGGCCTCTTATGGTAAGCTTCAACATAAAAAAATATGTTAAAAGTTTATTATTTTACAATTTAAAAGCTCTTATATAGAGCTTTATGATGTAATTGTTGATATTCCTTACAGTTTGCTTTCAGATTTATATGCATATTTTTTTCGCTTAAATAATGCTGATGCTTTATTATTGTTTTTTAAGACTTAATTAAAGTTTTCGCTATTTATGTAACGGTTTTCTTCTTCGTTTGGTTCAAATTCATACTGCCAATATATTAATTGTAAATATATATATGAAATTGAGATTATTATTATAATTTTGCAGTGATTTCAAAGAAACATGATTGGTTGATTAATTCTAAATATGTATGTATGTATATATAGTGAAGTTCGTTTACAACTTGATCATAGAAATATTCCAATTGGTCATACTTTTTTTAACCGTAATGATGCGCTTAATTATATTAGTTTTAAAAACTGGTATACATAATTACAAAACAACACTTTCTAAATAATAGTATTTGCTATGAAATACAGTAATTTTCATACTCTGAGCCGCACTTATTTAGAGAAATAATAGAAGAAAATTGAAATACTTATTACATGATTTAAAAAAAAAGCTATTATTTCAAACTGTCAATCAAATCCTTTTATAAGCATTTATGAAAAAATGCTGTTTAACTGCATTAAATATATTGTAACTCTGATTTTAAGAATAAAAATAATCAATTCTAAAATTCACTGTAAATACTTGAAAACTGCATATTTGAAAAATTATATGTAAATAAGCCAAATTGCACACTTGTTGGTGTTACACATTAATCAAGGTCAATAGAAAAAATCGTTATGAAATCCACTCGTTTGTTTGTTTAGTAAAATATGAACGCGCACATGAAAAATTCCGTTTTCTTGTTTTGATATTTTAATTGTCATTTTATCGTTCACAAAACTTATTTGATAAATTTGACTCTTTAACATTACCTGAAACTAAAGAAACAACGTAATTATTTTAAATTTGGCCCTTAGCACATCAAAATTAATATATGTGAAACATATGAATTTTCATTCATATACACACGCGCATGAGTGTACATTTGTACAGAAGATACACATGTACATATGTTTAAAATGTCGATTTAATTTAATTCTATACATTATATCAAAATATGCGCCATTCTTAAGGAATTACAGTCATTTAGTTACTACATTGATTTTATTCTAAAAATTTCAAAATAATATTTAACCCCGGAATATTTAAATTTGCCTTTTAATTAATATATATATCTATATATGCTCGCGTTATATTGAAAGTATTTCAGCATTCCTACTGTAAGCAAGACTAATTCATCCAAATGTTTATAAATTATTAAAAATCAGAAATTAAATCAAAAGAGCACAAAGTAACAGTAGTAAAGTATATATGTATATGTAATTAGCATTCAAATTACCTAGATGTATGTATGTAAGTAATAATGTCAGTAATAAAAAACGAAAATTAAGAGCTGCAACTAAATTATTCATTTTAACAATAACAATTAAACAACTCTGTAGCATCCACATGAAACACACTATTTTTCAAGTGCCCTGCAGAGCTAAATAAAATACATAAATGATCTAAGCGTTACTTCCCAAAGTTAACAAAGCAATTATTATACTTCGTTAAATTTTGTTTATATACGCAATAAATAGTATGTATGCATTACATATGTACGTGATTTGTAGTTAAGCAAACATAAGTGTTTCAAGATTCAAAACTAGATAGATTTGGTTAATATTTAACATTTTGCACTTACAACTAGAAAAAAAATAGAACGTGATAAATAGTTTATTTACAACTTAAAAAAACCAATTCGAATAAGGTAAAAGAGAGGATAATGAATTTTTGGCTGCCGCTGCTGCAGCTACTGCAGCTACTTGTACCGAACGCGAATTAGTCCCGGCAAAACTGCCGTAATTAACACTTTCCTCATCGGCAACGTTTCGGCCACGTTGGTGCTGTTGTTTTTGTTGGGTTTGTTGTTGTTGTTGTTGTTGTACTGCTACTGCAGCAGCACTGCTCGCAGCAACACTAGTCAAAAGATGTGCGAATTCCTGTTGCATTTGGAATCGTTGTTGCATTAATTCATAGTGATTGCGTGGTTTATTATAAATGTATTTGCTTGCGGTCTTTATCAAAGCCTGCGTCTGAGTTGGTGTAGGCAATGCACTTCGTCCTGCTGCCGATATGGTATTGGATTGATGACTGTTGCTACTGCCACTGAAAGCACCGAGCGAAGCTGCAAGTGTTGCCGCAGCAACTGCTGCTGCCGCTGCTTGTTGTTGCGTCTGCGGTGGTGATAGATTCAATAATGATTGTAAATCAGCTCCAGCTGTTGTTGTTGGTAGTAGCTGCGTTTTGCGATTGACTTGCTGTTGGCGCTGCTGCTGCTGCTGCTGCTGACGGTTACAATTATTGCGCTCACTGTTGTTGTTGTTGGTGTTGCTGTTGGTGTTATGTTTGTTGTTATTGTTAGTGTTGTTGTTGTTGGTTTTACAGCTACCACTACCACCGCCATTCAAATGCTTCAACATCAATTCAGTTCTGTTATGGGAGTTCAAACTGAAATTGGTGGTAGTTGTGGTTGTGGTGGTTATGGTGTTGTTTTTGTTCTTGTTGGTGGTGTTGGAATTAAACAGGGAGGGTAGTGTCGGTGTTGTTGTTGTTGTTGTTGTAAGGTTTATTGTATTGTTGGCGGTGGCATACATAACATCAGTTAGTTTCGTTAATAATTACGTTTGCTTTGTTTTATTCGTCTTAAAGCTGACTTGAAGCACACGGTTACCCAGAGTATAGCCATTGAGCGATTGTATGGCAACGACTGCTTCCTCATAGTTAGTCATTGTGACAAACCCAAAACCTTTGCATTTATTGGTCTGCAAATCACGAATAACCTACCATAGAGATACAAGCAACAAGACAGAATGACAATCGTAAGATAAGTTGTATAGAAATAAGAGAAAGATTTAATTAGTCATTGGAATTTAAAAACTCACTTTAACCGACTGCACGGCACCAAAAGGTCCAAAAAGCTGCCACAACACATTCTCCTCTGTCTCTGGTGCCAAATTGTATACAAAAATGCACCAACCAGACCCGCTGATAGGATTTCCTGGTAGGATTGTATTTGCCAACAGATCACTAGCTAAAGGCGAATATCGCGAAATCACCGAACTGACAGAAAAAAAGAAGGCAAATGAAAAACAATTAAAACACATTAAAATTTAAAGCATAATGGTAATCTTGCCTATAACGACTTGCTGCTGAAGGATGGATAGCAGCAGCTGCTCCAACAGCTGCAGCAGCGGCTGGAAAGCCCCGTGCTCGGGCGTTCTGTGGTGTTAAATAAGCAGCCAATGGCTGCAATGCTTTATTATTACTGGGATTATTGGCGAATTTAACAATGATGGCATCTGTGGCATTTTTGGGTATTGTTCCATTTAGCTCTTTGATAGCACGGTCAGCCTCATGACGTTGATCAAAGCGTATAAAACCAACACCTTTCGAGAGACCTTTTAAGTAGAAAAATAAAATAAATAAATAATACCGCTTTAAAAAATTGGTTGTGTATCCTAAAGTTCATTTCGAACCTTTCAAAGAGAAATTAAATTAATATTTTTTAAAATAAGATAGCAAGCGTACATGAATGAAGCTTACATATCTGCTCGAAATTTCCTGCGGCTACTGTGAAATTTTGTAAATATGCTTATTTATTCTTAAGACATTCCTACAGATTTTTCAAGAATATATTTTTAAGGTGATATTAGCGCATTTTTTAAGCTTTTTTAAGGTTTCAAAAGGGATATGATGGTTTTAGGTTTTAAAGGGAGACAATTAGTGAAAAATTAAATTCCATTTCTTTAAATTATAGACAGACTTGGCAGTAGGTATTGTATTATTTCCTACTCAATTTGATTTGTTTAATCCCCTATCAGAAAGTAGCGCCTTTAGGGGGGTTAGGTTAAATGGGTAATATTCTAATAACTCTAGTTTTATTTTAAAAATTATTATTTCCCTCTGCTTGCCAAACATTTGTTCTATATGGCAGGGCCAATTTTCAAGCAGGTTGTTGTCAGCGAAGATCGATATGATCGTTTTCGTTTAAAAAAAAAAGCGCATATTCTATGAAAAAATTATTTTGTGAGAAGTGGTATTTATAATTAGAGTTAAAGTGATAAAAAGTATTTCGCTTAAAGGCGGTGTAGCCTGTTGCACTGTTATTTTTTATAGCAAAATTGAAGCTAGCAAAACGTTTGTTAATTAGAAATCTGGCGCATATTATTGTAATGAATTAACTTCGAAGCAATCAATTTATGACAATCAACCGACGAGGAAATAATAGAATTCGTGGATACCTTCAATGACGATGGCGAACGTTTCTGAAGACGAAGAAATGAAATTCGGTACAGAAGATGAAGAGTTGACAATATTGGATCGAGATTTTGACCAAATGGAACATTATATTCCCAAATTAGAAAATGCTTCTATTAGCGACAGCCCTAATGTGGAAAAAGAGTACAACTATCATATGGGGGCGTTGATCTCATGGATAGCTTACTAGAACCCTACCACTTTCGGATGAAAAAAAAAAGAAATGACCCTGCGTGTATTTTTAACACCTTGTGGGCCTCTATAGACGAATTTGTGCAAGACATCAGCTCACTCATTTGAAGCTGCCTGATTTTAGAACTCAAGTGGCTGATTTGCTTTGTCATTCCCAAAAAAATTTGAAAAGATCAGTACGGCGATTAAGTAGTTCTTCTCCAAGTACGCAATCGAAGTTAAGCAAGAAGACTTACGCAGCTCAGACTGATATTCTTTACGACGGTATTAGTCATGTACCTGATTGGTTGGACCGAAGCAACAAAAGAACGTGCAAAATGAAAGGCTGTAAATTAGAAACACAAATGTTTTGCACAAAATGTAATATTAATTTATGCTTATCGGTAAAAAATAAATGCTTCAAATTTCCATAACAGCAAATATTTTAAAATAGCCAATTAGACATGCAACATTTGCAACAATAATTATATAAAAACCACACTTCTTCTGTTTATTTAACATTCCCATATCCAGCTAAGTCCGTTTAAAGGCGGTTTAGGGTTTTCGGCCCTGGGGGTAAGTCGGCTTGCTCAGATCCGAATATTCGGTATGAATTTTTTCTTCAAAAAAAAAAAAAAAAAAAAAAAAAAATTGCCCGGGTAGAGGGTTTATTTTAAATTTTCTTAATTATTGACCAGAGTACAACTTAAAATTTATCAAATTCCCTTAGCTAATGTTATATTAAGGCGTGGTAGGAATACAAATTTTAAGTTTAAAAATGCCACAAGTGGTGGACTGAAGGAAGCTTTTGTTGTTACAGGTTAACAGACAGCTAAATGTAGAAGATGCTGTCTATGGAATACAGTTGCCAGCAGAAGAAAACTATTCGGAAAGTAAAGTTTAGGACGATTCAAGGAATGAGCTGGAAATATGGAACGCATCCAGCCAACTTCGTCGTGCCTCGTGACGAAAACGAGTAACTTACAACTTGTATAAGTTAAAAAAAAGCAAAACGATTTCTTAAAAATGTTTAATTTAAATAACTAACCCAAACATGACAAATTTTCATTTATTTTATTGATAAACGGTCGTCGTTGCAATACGTTTTGACAATAGAAATTTCGCATGGACGCAACACGATATTATGTCGACTGAAAAACTAAAACGAAATCGACGACGCCAGCCATAATAGAGGGATTAAGAAAAAACTTAACCTGGGGTCCAGGATCTGACAGATATAGCATCAGGATATTCAACTATCATCAATTATTAATAAAAGCTTTAAATAAAAAAAGTGAACCTCCGAAAGAACTGAAAAGCCAAAAATAATAATTTTTTTATTGAATAAAGATATTTTTGTATGTGGAGTTTATTGGGTTCAAAAATTGTAAGAGCGAGAGAAAAATGTAAATTATATTATCAGGGCTACAGGTATCCTTAAACCAATATGGTGTTGGCGTACAACTAGGCTTGCCATAACGCAAGCTTTAGAATGTGTACCAAGTAACACTTTAAGTTCTTGCTTCATTGTCCGCTTCAGAATTTCACTTAATTATATAAGCATCCAGAAGAGCGAGTACATGAAATGACTGGTAGCAAAAAACTAATCTCTCAAAGTATGCGGAAATATTGAGCACCGGCTACTGCTCGCTACCCCTCTATATTTTTCCTTTTCCTAACTACTACGAACCCCATTTTTTTCCTTTTCTGGCTGCTTGATCGCTCTCCACCTAATCACTCCAACGGAGTGGAGGTTTTTCTCTTTCTCTGCTTGCATCAGGATGCACTGTAATGAACACTTTCTGGACGTGTGAAATGTTTACAACTATTCGGACGGCATGTCCTTACCCATATCGCCGCTGTTTTTGCATTCACTCGTACAGCTCATCACAGGATTTCCTGCGGTACCTGTCATTTGCCAATGGGAAAAGAACCATGAATCTAGTGCCTAGTCATCGAATGTCGACATCATCCACTCTTCTACACACATCTGCTAAAAACAGGAATATTGAGCGATTTGTAGTTTAATTTTTGTTCTTTTAGAGAAGATTCCCTTCGTTTCAATTGCCTCCTCAGTACAAAGTAGCAAATGTACGGAAGATTTGTTTGATGATAAAATTATGGGACCACAATGATTTAAAGCCTGGAAAATCCACCATTTACTAGATATTCAATTGTTAAAAAGAACTCGTAAAAGAGGATCAACACATATCATCGTCGATTTTGAAGCAGTCTTCGACAGCACCAAATAGAGCTGCCCCTACGCTGCTATGTCAAAGTTTGGTATATTCGCGTAACTTAAACGGTGTAAACTGATGTCAAGCAACACCAAAAGCTCTCTGAGCCGATCGATACCAAATGAGGTTTCAAACAAGATGATTCCTTATCGTGCAACTTCTTTATTTTTTTATTGGAGAAAATAATATGAACTGCAGAGCTTAATAGAAAAGGTACAATCTTACATAAATGTGTACAGCTGCTGGTATAGATTAGTCGATGATATTGATACCAATGACCTCAAGAACCACGCGGTGGGTTCTTCTTCAGGCTGGATAAGGGCAAAGCGTATAGGTCTGGTGATTAGCGAGGGCAAGACGAAACAACTTCTGCGATCAAACCCGTCTTGGCGGCACTCTCTCTACAATTATTAGAAAGGTCCTTCACTCCATGGGAATGGAATAAGGTGCAGTAGAGCCTTGTATCGCGAAAAGAAAAAATGGTGCGCTATTATTTAAACTTCTATTACGTAATCGGTTTAGGTATGCTTTTAAGAGGTATAAAAAAATTATTTCAGAGTCTGATATTTAAATCGACTACTTCCATTTCGATACGTGCCGGAGAAAAATCAACCCATGGTAATTATTTTAAATTTGATATGTAGATGGAATTCACATTTTTTACAGTTTAATTTTTTCTTTATTTAAATTTCTCACCTGTGATATTGTCACATAAAATTCTTGAGGTAATTATTTTGCCGTATGGACTGAATAGTACTTCGAGATCTGGTTGGGTGAGATTTTTTGGAAGACCAGATACATATAAATTAGCTCCCTTGATTGATTCAGAGCTAGGACGGGCAATTGAGACCTAGATGAAAAGTCGTATGAATATCATAAATTGGAGTTTTTTAGTCACATCATCAGCGATTAATTAAAAACTTACTTTAATTGTTTTATTCTGCAAACGTAATCCATTGAGCGAGCTTATGGCTTTCTCGGCATCCTCCTGCTTCACGTAATTTACGAATCCATAACCGAGGCTTTGGCCTGAGAAAAATTAATAAAATTTTAAAAATTATTTCATACCCGCACAATTCCGTATTTGGTGTGTTTTGCGCACCTGTCACCTTATCCCTAATCAATTTGCAGCTCTCCACTTCTCCGAAGCTAACAAACAACGATCGTATCTCCTCTTGTGACATTGTTTGTGGTAGGTAATTCACAATTAAATTGGTTTTAGGATCACTAGCTATAGCGTTGTTGTTGTTGGTTTTTGTATTATTATTGTTGTTGTTGTTATTGGTAGGATTTTCAGTAGTATTTGCAGTTGCCGCTGAGCTGCCACTACCACTAACGACGTTACCAGCAGCAGCTCCGGAACCACCACTACTACCGTTTTGCTGTTGTTGTCCTTCAACCATTTTGTTGCTATTAGCACTCGAGGTCATCATTTAAAGACAAAAAAAATCGTTTTAAATATGTGGATTCGTAACGTCCGGAAATCGGAAATCAGAAATCGCACGGCAACGAAGAAAAATGATTTTAGCAAAAAATGTTGACGTGAAGTCTCGTAAAAAAACCTCTGACAAAAATGTTTAAATAAACAACTTTGATATTAAAAATATTAAATTATGATTGTCTTCAAGATAGTTAATGTATTTTGCTTCTACAGTTTCACCAGCTTGACAATAATACTGATTGTTCATTTCCTATTTAGTTTATTGTTTATTAGTTGACACCATTTATAGAGTCAAACGAGCAGCACTGAAAAAATTGTACACATAGAAAAACTATTAGCACATAAACAGGTGAGCTTACAAATATTTAACTTATGTGAATCACAATTTATAGGTATAAATTATTGTTTTTTTTTTTAAATAATTCGTAAAAAAAACTGCTGCTGAGTTTATACATCATTTGTATTTACCTTCAACCCGAATGAACGGTCTACGGTTTGCACAATTAGGTTTTTTAGTAATAAACAAAATGTGGGTGTAATATACATTGAATTTACCAAATATGGTTCAACAAATTCCGCTTTTGCTACGCACAAAGTAATTCGTTCTTTCGCATAAGTTATACCTTTCTTTTCTAAGAAAGCATGTTGGTTTGATTGTTACAATATCGGAAGTCTTTGGTCAGACACTATTCGAGATCAATATGCGAATTAACTGGAAAATAAAATGAAATGTTGTTAAATATTTTTTGAAATATGTTAAAGTACTTTATTATTATGTATTTGAAAACTAGAATCTCTAACTTAGAATACGGACTAAAATATAATATACAGTTATCAATTTTACGGCTTCAGAAGTAAACATAAATAAAATGCATATAAAATATTTATTTTCATGACATTAATTTTCTATTATAAAATTTGAACCTTGGCATTATATAATATGTGAAACACAAAATCTGTCAAAAAAAAAAAAACACTTTCACACAAGTTCTTGTCAAACTTCGATGTGGTAATTTATAACCACTTTTTGACACATATTGGGCAGTAACCCAGCCATAAACGCGGTCTTCTGCGTAACCCCACAAAGAACAAGCCCAAGTCGCGCTAAGACGAGAAATTGCGCCGAAGGGAAATTTCTCTCGCAATAAAACCATATTTGCCCATGTTGTGTCATATGCGGCACTCCATTTTGTTAAATTCACAAATTTTCCTAGTTGCTGTTATTGTGGTTGTTGTTGTAGCCGCAAAAATATTCCGTAAAGTAGTTTTTGGGGAATGTTGCGGAAGTGACAGCATGATGAGCGTGGTATATACATATCTAAAGTTTATTAAATAGCATCATATTTTTTTAAAGGGATGTCGAAATCTTTGATTAGTTCGACTTGAGGCTTCCTGAACTTCTTTACAATATTGTTCCAGAAAATTTCGAATATTTGCAAAACCTACTCATCTTGACAAGAAACACAAAATACAGTGTGCGACAGAACTAAAACACCAAATCTATAAAGCTACCAAAAAACTAAAGATTTTCAATCATTTAATAATTTTAATTTTTTTCATGTTACTAAAAAGAAATTACATTTCGCAATATATTAGAAATAAAAAAAACTAAGAAAATAATGAAAAAACAAGTCGCTTGCATAAACTTGTTGCGAGAAAGCCAAAGCACAATATCCAAATTACTTATATTTTCTTTTCATAATTGCTCATATCTAACAGATCAACAGAATTTTTACAGTAAAAATGTAATTTGTTATAAATAAACAAAGTATTATCGGTGATATTGCGTATTTTCAATAACATACAATAATACTTTCGGAGCTGAAGCAAAATGGTTCGAAAAAAATGGTTCGAAATCGTAAAAAAAACCTAGTAGACGAATTGGTTGAAGTTATTTCCCGAACATTATGTTTTTTCGGTCTTCTGTCTCTTATGACTTCGTACATGCAAATGATAGGCCCCGAAAAATCACTACTGAACTACGTGAAGATATAGCAATTATTCGAACAGTTCAAAAATATAACTTTGTATCGGCCAAATCAATACAAGGTAAATTGAGATTAGATATTAACCTTGACTCTATCCAATGGCAAGTTTATCTATGGCGTTTCAGTAATCTATAGAACCTATTTATTTCAGAAAACAATCTCAAAGCACTAATTATGTTTGCAAAAACGTCTATCAACTAGATCATCAATAATTGGCGAATAGTACTTTTTTCAGATGAATCCATGTTAAAAATCGAATATTATGATGGACTGAAGCTGGCACACACACCAAAGGCACTATAAATCTCGATTGAAGCATCGTAATGATCTGGGAGAATTTTGCAGAGGATATAATTGGTCCAATAACGGAGTTAATGGCACAATGAACACTTTTGTCTCCAAACACATTGTGCAGACAATTCTGTGATGAGGAGGAAATTGCGTTTCCTTTGGTCGTATAAACAGGACAACCATCCCAAATATACGGTTAATAAAATAGAGGTACTGGAGTCGCCTGGACATCTTTCTGATCTCAGCCCCATATACAATCTGTGGAAGATATCGTAAAGCTGAAGCTGAGCTCCTCCTCCAATCTGATCCTATCCACTAAGCCGCCTCCGAACAGCTGATGGTCTTTTATGAGGAGCTTTATTTCATATCAGAAATATACTCTGAGGGGTTGAAATTCCTTGCCGAGGGGCGACGCAACTAGAAAATTTATCTTAGTTTTTTATTTAAACTAATTATCTATAAGTTTTTGAATGTTAGTACGACACCAGCATATGAACCCGAGTCTTCCGAATGGCAGTACGCAAAGCTAATAACTCGGCTACCATCTTTTGGCGCTTTGTAATTGCTAAAGCGAACTCCCTATTCAAGGGGCTACCGCAATTAGAAAGATTAAGGAAATTTTTTTATATAATTTTGAGTGTTAGTCCAACCAGGACTCGAAGCCCGGTTTTCACAATAGTAGTACACAGTGCTAACCACTCGGCTATTGCATTAGCCGTACATATTGGGCGGTATCTCATAGCTTAGCAAATGTTGATTTTCAAATGCTCAGGAGTTAAAAGTTTAACCACATAAATACAATCTTTCGCATAGACCCATAAAAAAGTCCAACGGTGTAAAAAACCACGATCTCTGTGGGTAATTGGCATCGCCAAGACGAGAAATTTCATTTGCAATAAAGCCACATTCGCTCGTGTTGTGTGTCACCACCTTGTTGAAACCACATATTGTTTAAGTCGGTTTTTTTTTTAATTGCAAGCCGAAAAAGGCGATTATCATACGACTATAATGATCCGAATTGACAGTGGCAGTCTCACCGTTGTCGTTTTCAAAGAAGTAAGGTCCAATAAGTTTTTTTTTTAATGTAATGATCTCTCCTCAATTATTTGAAGATTCTTGGAGCTTGAAATGCGACAATTTTGCTTATTTGCCTAGAGTGTGAAATGTGCGTCGTCGCTGAAGAAGGTTTTTTTCGAAGAATCTTGTTGTTAAGCATCCAATCGACGTATGTACTGGCTTCAGTTGTTGTGTGAGCTGAATTCTACATGGACGTAGATGCAAGTCCAAGACAAAATACGTCAGAATTTGCCGTAAAAAAGCATTTTAGAAGCTCTTTAGCACGTTGCGAAATAGACGCATTCGGTTCTTCGCTTACACTCTCACTTAAAGTAACGATATTTGAGATGGTAAGAGCGAAACGATAACATACAATAACTGTATCCGATTCAATCTCTTCAAATTTTTTTCAAAATTTTACCAATAACTTAATTAGTTGGACGATAATGAGCACAATAATCTGCTCTTAAAGCGCGAAACGTCAACACTTTTGATTCGCTAAGTATTTAGATGGTTTTTGTGAAGTTTTTGCTGTTTGTTCAAACACTTTTAACGCATTGTAAGCAATCTATTTTCATAAATGCCTAAAATTTAACTAAAACTAAACATGTTTGGTTTGTCTGTTAAGTTTGACAGATGCTAAAATACAGCCCTATACTTTTGAAACCATTTGTTGGAATAAGATCAAGACGCAAAACCACAAGCCGAAAAATCGCTACAACCAATTATATATATATATAAATATCTGAATCCACGAAATGGATAAACTTATATGGAAGAAATCGAATTTAGTCAATGTTCGAAAATTTTATTTCGTTTTGTATTTAGTAACATGATGGATTTTCTGCTTCAATTTCGTCGTGTGCTGTAGTTATATATGTATGAAAACATTAAGGCGCGTGTGTTATAGACTTTACGAGCCCTTCAGAGATGTATTAAAAAATTGCTTATTTCACAATTTTTTAAATTTTTATGCGGTAAAAAGTAAACATTTCAATCGTAAAAATATTTGAAATACAACGTAAGTTTATCCTAAGAGCATTTGATTGCAACTCTACTTTACTCAGCCATAAACACCGACAATATGTATGTTGATGTGTATTTATAATGGATAGATAGACAACACAATTGTATTTTTAGCTGTTTCTGACATTTTCGACGGCCAAATTCTAAATTTGTTACAGTCGAAATGAAGTCAACGATATGGATTTTCATTCAGTCAACTCGTATGTACATATGTATATACATATTTATATGAAATGCTTGATATCTTTTAACGGTGTTTGATTTAAACTTATTAATCATATTTTTTTTTACATACTTAAATGCATACATATTTAAATATATTATATTTTTCTCTTTGTTATTCAGTTTACTCATAATCCAATTTTCGTGTTCGTCGTATTTGTAAATAGCGACACTATTCGGAAATACGTAGGCGGAAAACGACTAACGACTTGAAGAAATGTGCATAGCAGAACATATTTTTTCACTTTCAAAAATGAATGCGAAACGAAAATTTTTCGATTACGAAACAAAATATCTCTCTTGCCGTCAAGGATATTATTTTTAGTACTAAATAACGCTCATCACTTACATTTATTCGTATGTCGACCTTAAATTCCCAGTTTGAAACTAATATTCCTTTCTAGAAAGTCTAAAAATACTTTAGTTTTACTTTTTTTTTACTTTTGCTATAAACAAGTATTTGTCAGATTTACTTATAGTCACAATAGTTTTATTGGAAACAGAAGAAAAGACCCGAATTGAATTGGAACACAAACTAATTTTAAAACCTTTTTCAATTGTTTCAGTTTTTTTTTTTTTTTGTTTATTTTAAGATATTTTTTATTTTGTACAAAAAAAAATAACCGAAAGACGAAATTAAAATTCAGAACGCAAACCCAAACGAAATTAAGGAAAAAATCAACTGAAAGTAGAAAAGAATGCGCTCCTTCCTTCAACTCAAGTGAACGGAAATAAACTAAAAGTCCCTTATGGAAACTTTCAGCCAGAACGGTGCGTGAATTATGCCGAGAAATTCAGCATATTCTAGGCAAAGTGTTGGAGAGCAGCATATACAAGCTACAAGAATATTTGAACATCCTCTCTAACACCTCGCCAAGAATATCGTTGATGAGTGTCTTTGAAAGAGTATTTTTTCTAATGCGCATGCCCCGAAAAAATATTGAATATTGAAAAACGAAGCAGGGATGTAGATAAAATAAGAAGTTAATACTAAATGGCGAAAATACAAGTCATGCTAAATATTCGAAACGTTTTTTAATAAAGTAACCAATGGCGAATTTATTATGAAAAAAATTTTCTAACAATATTATATGGAAGTACAAGTTGGATACAATCGGAATTCAATGCGCAATTACATAGCGTCAGCATTTGTTTCAAGCTTACATGTGTCAAAATGTTAATGACAGCATAGTTTAGCGCTTGCGGTCAATGTATCGTGGGTTCAAATCACGACCAGCTTAACATCTAAGAATTGTTTTAAATAACATTCCTTGGGAAATACTTTCGCCTCTTAAAAAATATATACAAGCCGTTCCAACCCAGCTTATTTGCGTGCATAGATATGTATGTTAATAGGTGAATAGGGTAAAAAATCAATAATAATTGAATCGATGAGTAGATTGCTAGAATAAAAAGAGGCTAAGAGCGAATGAAAAATATTTGAAAAAGTTGAAGGCGAATTATTAATTTGTGTTACTTTCTTCAATTTACAGTTTGTATATGAAACAAAATATAAATCAAAATAACTTATGCATAATTAAGTACAGGGTTATTCAATTTGTGTTTTCAAAAACAACGTAAATGTAAATAAAATGCATTTCAAAAACCATTTTTCATTGAATTCCTTCCGTATTATTTGAACCATTATGAGTGAAAAACAAAAAAGGGATGACCGCTTCGCAAATTTTTGCAAACTTGGAACCGTTTCGAGGAAGTTTTCGTCTTTATTGGGCGGTATCTCAGCCATAATTTGAGGAATGTTGGTTTTCATGTGCTCAAGACTTAAAATTTTATCACACAAAAAAGTCAAAGGTGTGAAATCACATGATCTCTGAGGCTAATTGACATCGCCAAATTACGCGGTCGGCCATTTTCGCCCATGTTGTGTGGCATGTGATTTCATCTTATTAAAACCACAAGTTGTCCAAGTCGTGTTCTCCAATTGCTGGCCAAAAAAAGTCAGTTATCAAACGACCATAACGCTTCAGCTATAATAGTGACAGTCTCACCGTTGTCGTTTCCAAAAAAAAAAAATGAGATCCAATCACACAACCGGACCAAAAAACCCAACAGATGTTGACTTTTTCTTGGGTGTAATGGCTTCTGTTCAATTATCTGAGATCTCTCGGGGTGCAAAATGCGACAATTTTGATTATATCTGTGTTCTCCTGAAAAATCGCCGTCAGCTTCTTGTTGTTGATGCACCTATTCGACGTATGTTCGACATTGTGAATGGTCAGTTGGTTTTAGTTGGATTTTATATAGATTTAAGTATAAGGGCAAGTGCAAAATACACTATAATATACCGTAAGAATGTGTACTTTCGTGTATACCGAGAATAAGGCTAATTCGTGCTAATTTTTTAGCATTGCCGGGAAATAACAATACCGCCCAATACATGTAGATCTATATGTAACATATTGGTAGTCATCAGTTCGGACCAGCATATAAAACTACAGAAGAATATGCAAACGCTCTTTGACAGAGAATACAACTCTTTAGGCTATATTTCTAACTTGGAAATGAAAATCTGGAGTTTCAAAATATAATTCACGAGGAATTGGATGATAGATTTGTTTATTAAATCATAACTATTTAAAAACTCTTCAGCAAATTTTGATGTTCTTTTGTAAAAATATCTGCCAAAAATCTAATTTTAAGGTCTTTTCTTCGTCAAAATTGTAGTTTTTCCAATGACCCTGTCTGCACAGACGCGCCCTTTTCCCAGGGGTCAGCAGAACAAATAATTTCCTTTGAAGATTTCAGAAATTCTTTTTGAAATGTACATACATTTACATTTTCAAATTGCAACATCAAGAACTATAAAAAAAAGAGAATTTTTTTTAAATTTATTTTTCAGAGCTAATTTGTATGGGAAAAGTGAAAAAATATGAAAACATGAGTTGTAAAACGTTATATATTATGAAAACCAAGTCCGAGCACAAAAACGTTTCAACGGTTTATTCGTTGTGAGCGATCAGCCTTCCCGAAACTTAAAAAACCTTTTAAATTTCGCATGTAGTACAAGGTAAAGGCTAATTTTTTGCAATATTAAATAAGTTAGCAATGATTACAAATAGAGTAAAAGGGAATATGATACCATCCAGTGCGTCGTTTACTCAAAATTTCAAAATTTTTTTATGTAATATTTTCTGAGAAAAACAATATTTAAAAACATTGCACTTTTTATCAATTGCATATTGAAAGTAATCCAATTAACTTTTAGCAAAAATATTTTTCATGTGACTTTATACCAATAACTTAAATATTTTTCCCTACATAGTTTTAATTTTTCTTTCAGAATGAAAATTCATGGTCCCGTTTCAGAAACTTCTACTCATCTTTAATACAGTAAATAGAAATTATATTAATAAGTTATATTTAAATTTTTTTTCCTAATTATAATTAGGTACTATTTTTTAATGGACCTTTTTAATATATCCATGTAACCCCTAAATGGGCCCACCTATAGTTTATACAAACCTGCCTCCAAACGGCTGACGGATTTTTATGATTATTATGCTTTTTGTTTCATATCAGAAAAGAATTCGAATGAGGTTGACAGGAGCTAAACAATTATTTATATTTTTAAAATTAATTTTCCAGAGATATTGGAACGAAATTCGGTATATACACTCAGCGACATTACTAGCGCCGCAATTGATTTTGTCCATCAAAATTGATTTATTGTTTTAGTGTCAGGGAGATAAAAGGCTCGCGTGTGAGTGATAATATCTTTGAATTTACAAAGTTTGGTATCTTACCTACAAATTGTATGAATATTTCGAATTTGTTTGAAAAATTTCATTACTAAATAAAAGGAATAGGTATCAGAAAATGCCAAAATATCATAGATTGATCGAAAAGCAAAAATTTTAATTTGCACATATTCGTAGGGAAATATGTCAAATATGAAAATTGTAAGGCATGTTAGGATGCAGTGAGTCATCTGTACGTCAGTTTTTGACTTCGTATCGTGTGACCGGGCCCCAGGAAGGGCGGAAATACTTTAAAAGACCTTCTGTTTTGAATAGCCGGGATTGTGCTAAATTGACTCGGTTTTACGCTAAAAATCGGCTCGCATCTGCTTCAAAAATTAAAGAAGAGCTTGTGAGGGCTCAGGAGTAAGTTGTTCAACGCGAATAATACAGCGAAAACTGAAAGACATAGACCTAGAATCGTACCGGCCAGCAAAAAAAAAACCTCCTGTCTGCGAAAATGTGAAGTACATGACTGGAATGGTGCAAACGACATGAAAGTTGGACAGCTGAGGATTGGGAACAAGTCATCTTTTCAGATAAATAAATATAGTAATTAACGCGCACAAAAGGTGAACGTTTCAGCGGAGAATGCATATTACCTACGGTGAAGCATTCTCGAATATCATGGTATGGGGAGCTATAACAAAATAAGGAGTTGGTTCTATTTCGATACTAGATGCAGCAGCATACAAAGAAATTGTCGAACATTTTGTTGTACCCACAATTGACGACCTGTCACAACACCCCCAAACTGTAATTTTTCAGAACGATTCAAAACATTGTCCTTTTTTGATTTAATTTTGTGATTTTCTAATAGTTTAGTTCCTTTTTTCTTTATAGACGAAAGTTTTACAGGAAGAATTGCCAATAAATTCGCTGGGATGGCCTGGGAACAGTCCTGACCTGAACCATATTGAAAACGTTTGGTCAGTATTGAAGCGAAAAATTCGAGAGAAAGAACCGGAAACAGTCCTAGACCTTTGGAAAATTATCAAAGAAGTCTGGTGCAGTGGAATCGATAAAAATTACCTGCAGGCGCTTTATAATTATAGAGAGAGGCTATATAAACAAATTATTTACAAATCATATCTGTTCTGGAAGCAATAAACACAAAATTGGCCTTTAAAATACCACTAAATATTAGATTAATGTCAAGTCTAAGTACTTTAATAAAACTTTTTAACACACGTTAACTCTGAGATTCTATTTTGATTTTCCAAAAAAGTACCTTATAATTCATGAACTCGAAAGATCTTACGTATTTTTTGCGATTATAGCGTTATAATTTTTTTTAAATATTCAAAATATTCCTAATACATGTACTAATAATTTAGAGATCATAAATATTTCAAACTAATAACGTCTATCGATATATTAACACCCAAGCAGAAAACATCAATATTTTTTCTGGTGGTATATTTTGCTCACACATTACAAATGAAATATTGATACCGAAGACCATCAATATCATACAAACGCTCGAATAGTATAAAAAAATATTACATTCATGAGTCACCGAAGCATGACCGAATACAACACAATTCTCAATTTCTGCTGCCTGGTAAATAAATATCAATACAACATCCTATTGCTTCTGAAGCAGGTTCAATTGAGCTTCATGTGGTTTGCAGGCGTGTCTTCGCTAACTTAAGCTGCAGCTGTTTACAGCCGGATAAACTTCGTTGGAGAGTTCAGCACGAATATCCATCACATGTGGTTCATTCAAAACCGCTTCCGATTTCTCGACTTGTAAGTCCCATTGATACTGAGTATATGAATGTACATTGAAAACTTATTTACCTACATGGACTACAAAAAAATACATTTTAATTCAGATACCGTCGTACTCCGGAGTTCAATCTAGCGGATTTGCCTACATTGGCTGTCACGAGTGGGCATAGCTGGAGGTGTCTTAACTTAATGCCTTGCTAATGCAATAAGCTATGCCCTGAATTGTTTTTCCATTTTCAAAATGTCTAACTAAAGCTTAATATGCTGGCAGCAGCTCATTAGTTAAGTTGCGCACGGGCCATACTTTTTTCTTATAGATAGAAATATTTTCGATCCTCACAAAAGGCATTGAATTATGTAATGGGGTAACAGCTTTTAAATTTTTTTCAACTACTACTTTCATTATCGGAAACAAAGATATTGCTATTACGAAGAACGTTACTTGGATGGATCCAATTCTATTTCTAAAATGTTTATAACTAAGTTTATAGCATAACAATACACCAAATAATCATCATTTCGAAATAAATATTTGTCATGAAACTATAAAACTTCAGTAGATGTAAATTCCATCCTTTTAATTGAGCTCCTTCTATCTATTTGCCTTTGCATTTGGCAGTTGATATTGTCACCACGATTAACGTATTGGGCTAAATTTTGGCAGACGCTATCTAATGAAAAAAATATATATAAAAAAAATATCGAAACCGGACTACGTGGTATTGGATTATGAGGGATATGAATGAATAATCTTACTCCCCTTGTGTTGTTCCTATTGTAACGGTAAGTCTAATCTCGGTTATTAGTAGGCAAATATGTCTGTCATCGAGGTCATCTATGGGAGACCTAGGAAACGAACGTTTCCCGCTTATTAGTTGGAAAGATCAGTCTAAGTCATCAAGGTCATCCATGGGAGGTCTACGAACGTTTCGCCGAGTTCAGACCAGAGGGAGAGTGGGATTAGTGGAGTGGGTTTTAAGGCGCAAGCAAAAAGGTGGTTAGCGAGGCAGCGCAAACTCTTCGTCTGCAATGGGAGGTAGTCGACCTCCGAGAACGTTTCTCCTCCCCATTGTCACTCCTCTAGTTAAATTTGTTTCCTAAGTTTCTGTGCTACGAACATCAAAGTTTGTCCAGTACCAAAAAAATGATCGAAATCGGACCACTCTGTGATCAGACATAACAAATATACGCGATGAATTAGAACCTTATTTTTGTCGGATAAAAATATGTTAAAAACTTAAAAGGGGACTTAAAGGGCACACCTAGTGTATTGGCCTAAAAAGAGGTAATTTTTGGGAATTTAAAAAAATACTTTATCAATTCAAAATCATTTCAAAATTTTAAGAATATATTTATTCATGTTTCAAGAATAAACAGTGAAGATTTTTGAAGAAAAAAATTAAATATTTTTTAAGTTATAGTCGATCTCCAACGACGCGAAAGAAAGGCTCTTCACTGTTGCAGTGATTCCGGCCTTCTCCGTGGATGAAATATAAAAGAAATTCTCGTTAAACTAGATAATATTGTCTGTCAATAAAAAACACCAAAAATTGACAATATGGCGGCGTTTTAAAAAAAATAGTCGAACTTTACCCAAAATTTAGGTCGTTTTTGGCATGCCAAAAATCAATTTTTTTTTTATTAGATCAAACATCGATAGGTCATTGTACGGAGGACTATATATAGAACATGCAAAAAAAAATCTATAGTGATCGGATCATTTGTTTTGGAGTAATCACTGCAGCAAATTCGGAAAATGCCGTTTCGAGAAAAACGCGTTTAACTCAAAAACTATTTGAGATATCGATTTGAAATTTTAATATGTTATTTTTAAAGGTAAAAAAAGATCGATTTCTTTGAAATTTCACACTAGGTGTGCCCCTGTGTGTACTAAATGAATATCGGACTAAAAAAAAATTAAAAGGTTTAATGGGGTTCCAAATGGAGATTTTTGGAGAAGTGTTTAATAAATCATTAAAAACAGATTTTTTACAAATATTACCTAATAAAAATCAAAATATTTGCAATAAATCAAATAGTTGAAATTTATTATATAAAAAAGTTCTAGTTTCATTTTTTTAATATTTTTTGGCGAAACACACCAAGGTTGTTTCCTCAAACGAGTCGACCCTTGGCTAAAAAAGCGAATACCTAACCAATTAAGGCATACGGAAATTCTTAAATAAAAACAACATTCTAGATTGTATGAGTAATTTAAAAAACTTATAGACCACACACTAGAAGTCAGTGCAGTCAGAATTTTTTCAGTGATCCAATGACGCAAAAATTTTTTGCAAAGCTAAACCATATAACCTTAAAAGAAATTTATTGCATTTACGCATTAAGGGACTCGACCAATGTGGCACTTTCAAAACATGGCTTAAACCTTCGAAAAAAAAACAGCATTATTTCAGGCATAAAGCGACCCTCGGTTATTTCGATCACATTAAAATTGTAAATTTATCACGGTATAAGATTTTTTTATTTAGTTTTTTTTTACCTCCATTGTGGGACACTTTAAAGTTCGTACAAAGCTCTTTAAGGCTTTTTTCTCATTTAAGGTATCCAAAACACAGGATGACACAGCACAATGGAAACTTTTTCGAGCCTCTGTGGGATAGCGCATATCTCGTTGAGAATGCAAGATTTTCGTTTAGAAAAAAATATGTAAAGATACCTTACTTGTAGACAAATACAGAAGTTTCTTTAGAAAAATTTACATCGCAGTTCTTCAATACAATTTGCTTCCATTTCTGGCTGTTGTGAACCGCGAATTGACAGCGCTGCAAGCAATTCAAGTAAGGAATCAAATAATTGGTTGGCGAATAATGGAGAATGTTTGAAAAAATATTTATGCGGAAATCGGCAGTTTAACACCATAGAGGTTATTACGACATCCCCCATAAAATAATAGTATACACCCAAATCGATGAGGTGAAATCAGTTTGTTCACGGTGAACTTTGGTGTTTTACACAGTACGCTAGAAAACACCTTATATTCGATATTGAGAGCGCTTTTCCTACAGTAAATGGAGCAGACCACCTTTTTATGCATCGGGAGAATGAGGTTTCAATCATCGGGCAGGCTTTCTTCCGACCATATTCTGAATCTCGCCAATTCTTCGCTGCCATGCTGGAAGAGTTCGGTAAGATATAACCACCCGTTCTTTTGTTATTTTTTAAGGAGGCAATCGAACTTCGTCATTCGGATAATGGAACGCCTCTTTCATCATCATCGATTGGAATTGACATTAAGCAGGGTGCATACGTATAGCTTCCAGATACCTATTCCTTGGTACCTATATGAGTATTTCCATAGAATTTTCGAGCACACACTTTTAGCAGTTCCCTTATACATATTGAGTTTCCGTTGAGTGAAAATCGTTCGACTTTTTTTTCTTTTTTTTTTAAATTTCAAGGCCAAATTTTAGTTGTCTTTGTTGATGGGGGTTCACTGTTGCACATACACGGATGTGTATTTTCGCTGATATTGGGAGAGATCAGGACAATGGACATATGTCTTCCGTCGATTACAACATGATCGATTTGATTGCGAAACAGAGTCTCTTTCCCACCATTTTAGATTTCACTAGGACCTTTCTTCTTCTGTCCTTGCCTCGTCAATAGCACTTCTTAGGCGATGGTGATGTTAGCCGTTAGTCACACGATGAGATCAAACAGCTGGGCAACGGTATCATACCAATTTAGGGATCGGAATTCAGGTACTTAAATCACAGACCTTAAAACGTATGCCTGCACATGGCCCACGCTGACTATGTCACTACAAATTATTACTTTAAGATAGTATTCTGATGGCTAGTAAACTATGTACAGGGTTTTCCAATAAGAGGTGTAATATCGGGTCGGATAATTATTTTAATGCAAAGAGAAAGATATGTCACTAATAATGTAAAATAATATCAGCCAAGTAGCCGCCACAGCTACGCTTACATGACCGTATCCTTTTTATGAAATTTTTTACCAACAAATCGCAAAGTGGTTGCTGAATGCCCTCAATGGCTTCAATAAATTTACTTCTGGAGTCTGTAATCGACACTGGCTTGTAGTTCTGGATCTTATCTTTCACGTGGACTCAAAGGAAGAAGTAGCAAGTTATTCGAGAGATAACACGGTCCGCAAACTTTTCCCTGAAAAGATCGATGGTTTCGTTGCAGGTGTGCCACTTAGCGCCGTATTGCTGAAAGTGAACGTTGTCCACATCAATATCACCCAATTCCGGCCAATTATTATCAATTCTCTCGGTAGTGCAATGCATTCAGAGTAACTGTTGCTCCAGCAAAGAAATATAGTCCCCGCTGGATCATAAACAGCAGCAAACTGTTTACAATATTTTTATAAAGAATTTCAATAATTTCCGTTAATTAAGAATACACTGG